CTATTTAATGAGACTCTAATTCTGGAGTTATAGAAGAGTTAGATTAAGTTGAAGGAAAGTTATGTAGTAAAAGAGCTTTGATTTGAATAATTCTGAAACATTTTTCCCTATTTTTCCCCTTTTCTAGTAATTTTTTATTCAGTTTTTTTTACTTATTTTTAATATTTTCTTGCGTATTTTTTAGTATTAACTTTTTTAATGTTCTAGAAGCAACATTGTTGGGAAATATTAGAAACCTGTTTAACATTTGGATGAAAGAAAAATAGAGTTTAAAGTATTTTTATTAAAAAAGCTGAGATCAAGTATGTTGTTGATCCTCACCCCATTAAATTTTGCCTCTCTGCCATGGTCTGAAAGAATGTCTGCTGATTTGGGCTGTATTTACACTTTTCATAAAATATGACTGACTTTTGAAATGAAAAAATTATTATCTACAGTGTTGTTCAGACCAAGCTAACAGAAAATCAGAGTTGTCTACATGTTGCTGCAGTTGTGAGGCTTTCTTGTAAGTAAGCTTTTGCAGACAGTCTGACATCAGAGTTAGTGGGTGGCATAATGTAACATAGACTGTATTGAATTCACACACTACCCATGTGATGTAGTTCGGAGTAGTGCGGCAGCTGCTTTTTGGTGCTTATCCTGGTAAAAACCCTCACTAAGATACAGCTTTCATGGCAAAAGTTCTTTGGACAATGTAGCCTGTGTTCTGCAAACTGATACTATTTTGTGTGACAAAGAGCTCTTCTCTTACTCTAAGCAATATCCCTATCAGATATATTTTGTCAACAAAACTACACTCAGCGTTTGTCTGTATCAAAAGTTTTTGCTGTATGCTTGTGGCAAATGAGCCTCTGTCCACTTCATCTCTGCTGCACATACTATCTCCAGGCTGTCACTTGAGCCTTTCTTTAGAAAAGAAACCTCACTTGCACTTGTTTCTGTACACAACATGCTGCCAAAGGGTTGTGTTGTGTTGCTGTCCTCCACAACTCACTTAATTCAGGTGAGTCCTCTTTTCATTTCTAGGGACAGACCCATTTCACCTGTGTGTTGTGGCAGGCAGCTGTATGTAGTTAGACCTCAGCAGCTAAAACAGATGTTTCCAATAAAAGGAAATATGTTGCCAAAGAGCAGTCCTAGTGCATGCAAATGAATAGAGTAAGTGAATATTGTAACATAGGAAAACAAATGCTGAATAACTTGCTCTATGTTCTTGGTTGCTCGTTATATCTGCTTATTTCAGGGAGTCATTTAATGCCGTGTCTAAAGGCAGATGTATGCAAAACACAGGTGCAAGAAATACTCTGGATGCGTTTTAGATTTTGGTTATTTGGATTTATGGATATCTTGACTATTGTGTTGATCATGGAAATTCTAAGGATTTGTATATGCTCAATTTGTGCAGGAAATAATCCCAAATAAAAACAACAGCAATTTAGTTTATGTTTTTGGTAAAATTTACATACGTACTTCTTATGTTTTGTGAAGAATAGTTTAGTACTGCAACATCAAAACAGCTTCAAATGTTTGAAGCATGGAGCAAAAATCTATGGAAGAAATATTTGGTATTTTCTAGTCTATTTTTCCTTTTTATTGCTGGAGACAATTAAGTAAATATAAAACCAGAAAAAGATTCTGTTGTAGTGAGCATAACAAGGAAACATTGCTCTGTTAATTGAAATGCCGAAGATTTTATGGAAATCTGCCGATTGCAAATTTAACTCTGTAAAGTGGTTGTTAAATTAGTTCAAAGATTTCTCTGGTACTAAGACAGGTAACAGATATGTAACGACACTATGTATTCTACCCTTCTGAGTAGTGTCAAGCCAGCTCATTAAAACAAGATGAGATAGCTGTCCATATTTGTCTCAAATATTAAGTTCTCCAATTTAAGCATAATTTCAGTGTAAAACAGTAGTGTTGCTCTGTAGAATTAAGTTTAACCTCACTTCTCTTGACATATCTTACACTATCATGTTCATTAAATCTGAACCTTTTTCTTGTTATGGACAAATTTAAGTTTCTTTAACAAGAGGAAGAGGCCTAGACTAAGTTGGAGAACATCATTTCATGTTTAATGAGATAAAAGAAATTTATTGCCAACAGACCAAACAGCCAACAAGTGCTAATGCCCCCCACCCCACATGCTTGCCTGGTTGACTGTGCCTCATGACTGTTTGTGAGATAAAGAAGTTTCCAGAACTCTCTTATGACATTATGCACTTCATATATATATTTGAAATATAGATTTTTTTTTTTGTATTTGAGGAAGATATATTGCTTATTGATTTCTAACCTTTAAGATTTACTAGTATCATATGTGCTTGTGCATGGTGTACTGAGAAACAGTAATGTGATTCTCTTTTTGGTGGTATTACAAAAACATTCCTGGTTAACAAGCTGCAGAAGCTGTAGCCCTTGCAATGACAGTCTCGTTGCTCGGTGCTAATATCTGCTTATGCCCACTGTTTTATGTGGCATATTGCATTTGCATGGCAAGGCTGGGAGGTGAGGATGACTGCACAGGTGGCCCCTGTGATAAGAGACAGGGGCTGTGAAGAAAGTTAACTCTACTTCAGCCCAAACCAGCACACTCCCACAGCTGGACACAGCTGGTTCTAGCCAGTTGTAAAATAGACCCACTCTTGGCCAAAGCTGAGCCACCCAGTGTAGCAGGTGGTGCCTCTCTGATGAGGTATTTAAGAAAGGGTAAAATATGCTCCACAGCAGCTGTGAGAAAGAGGAGTGAGAAAAATGTGAGACCATGCAGAAACAAAGGTCAGTGAAGAAAGAGGAGGAGGTATTCTAGGCACTGGAGCAGATATTCCCTCTGGAGAAGGCTGTGGCAGCCCATGAAGGACCATCCCAGATCAGGTCTCCACACTGCAGTCTGTGCAGGACTCCATGCTGGAGCACGTGGATATGCCCTGAAAAATGCTGCAGCCTGTATAGAGTCCATACAGGCACAAGATCCGGGCAGGAACTGCAGCCGTAGGTGACTTGTGCTGGAGCAGTTTGTGCTGAAGTGCTGTACCACACAGAGAGGACTCATGTTGGAACAGGGAAAAAGTGTGAAGAGGAAGGAGCAGTGGAGATGAAGTCTTACAAGCTAACCATAACCCTAATTCTCCATCCCCTCTACACCACTTGGGAGAAAGGAGATAGAAGAATTGGGAATGAAGGAGTGAAGATGAGCCTGGGCAGGTGGTTTGAGTTTTGTCTTTGTTTCTCACCATCCTACTCTATTTTTAATTGACAATAAAATAACATTCGTCATTACAAGTCTGTTTTCCCTGTGACAGTAACTGGTAAGTGATCAGGGTGTCCTTAGCTCAACCCATGTGATTTTCCATCCTCTCTTGTCTCCACTGTCATATTGAGGATGGGAAGTGAGAGAGTGGCTGAGTAGATGTTTGGCAGCGAGTCAAGATCAACCCACCAGACATGGTGAGAAAACAAGACATTTTTCCATCTGGCAGTTTGGTAAACTGGTTACAAGCCTTTCATTGGAAAATAAAGTTCTTAGTCTTGCAGTGTATAGGTATTGGTATTGTAGTACAATGTTTTATGGCACTAAAGAGAGATTGGAAAATAATTTGTGAGACAGAGTGGACTGGTCTTTTGGTTTGTTGTTTTTTTATTTAATTCTGTGAGTTGTGAAGCTCATTTTTTATATCTTTTAGTATCTCTCCAGCAATGATGGAATAAGCTTCCACCCTGCATTCTTTTAACAATCTATGGTAGTAGTTTAAATGTATGAGTTTATTAATCTGAGAGAAACTTTGAAATATAATATAATGTGAAGAAATCCAAATGTTTAATTTCTCCTTCTTGTCTTGAAGGAAACTGAGTGAAGATGTTTTTTTGTTTGTTTTGTTTTCTCTGACTTATATATCTTCTTGAGTGTACGTTAATACAATTAAGAAATGCAGAATCTACTTGTATTTCAAAGGAATAAATGGAAAAGTATTTTCTTGCAATTTCGTGGTCAGTAGTTAGCAAGTGGGAACTAACTGTGGCTTTTAGCTAGATGCTGTTTATTTCTTTTCTTGGTTCACATAGATGCAATTTAGACAAAAATGAAGCAGTTCCTTGAATTCAGGCTGGTCGCTATATTTCCCCTTCTTGTAACCTGCCAATTTTGCTGAGAGAAGTTAATTCAAACCACTTAGATTCTGGTAGTCCTCGAGTGTTTTTCATAGTTCCATCTTTGAAAGCTACTGAATAATTGCTTGTCTGTGAAAAAAATAGTGGCAGGGTTCCTGAAAGAGGAGAGCTCTTGGACATGTTCTCTTGATGCGCTGCAGCAGCACATGCCAGAAAATTCAGTACAAGTGAATAAAAAAATACACAGAGCAATTCCTTGATCCTCAGGCTCAATTAACCTACTCCAATTTACCTGTATCAAGTCTGCACTGACCATGTATACTAGATAACTAAATTAATCTAAGAATTTCCCACTTGAAGTCTGATTACTTAAGTCTGATCTTGAAATAGATTTTTACTTTTTATGAAAAAAAGTATTGGAGACTTTCAGATTTTTTAAATAAGTTGAGAAATTCTTCTTGTCTTTACATTTCAGTTTTCATGTGGCTTTTTCTGACATGCAACTTGAATTTATGTATGATTCTGCCTGTTTTTCTTCTGTCGCATCATTGAACTAAAATTCTGTGCTTCTGGAAGACACTTTCCTTTAGTTTTAAACAATGTAATCAGAGGAAAATGAATGTGGAGTAATGGCACTGTGTAGAAATACTGTTTTATGCTTAGCTATCCCTGATTTCTGGTTCTTCTATTTGAAGTGTATTTTAAAAATAAAACCCAGAACAAAAAAACAGGGAAGGTGCATTTTGGGTATGTTAGGGCTGATGTATCCTTAAGTGATGCAGCACACATGTGACATTTGGGAGTTGTGAATTAATTGTTGCCCATTAATTTCTTGTGGCTTCACATTGTTGAGTATCCTGGATGTCTAAATGCATACTTTTTGTTTCAACTTACAGGTGTTATAATTTCGAGGAATCCTGTGACCTATTTGAAGAACATCACTCACAGAAGCTTTTGTCGTGTGAAAATTTATAAACTAGAATGGCTTTGAAAAAAGCACCTAAACTATTCAAGAAATTATTTTTTCACTGGAAACTTTGGAAGTTTAGCATTATTGTGTTTGTCTTTCTGGTATTTTTATTTTTATTGCAAAGAGAAGTGGGTGTTCAAGATTTTAAGGATGAAGCAGGGATGGAGCCAGTTGTTGGAAAGAAAAGTCATATGTTAGGTCTCATGTTTAATGCTATGAACAATATCAAAGGTGCAAAGCCAAAAATGCAGATAAAAGCACCTGTTAGGCAAACTAAGGTTCCTGGAGAGCGACACTGTTTGCCAGGACACTATACTGCAGTGGAACTAAAACCCTTTCTAGATCGACCCCTTCAAGATCCTAATGCTCCTGGAGCTTCTGGTAAAGCCTTTAAAACCGTTGACTTAAATTCAGAAGAACAGAAAGAAAAAGAGCGTGGAGAAGCAAAACACTGTTTTAATGCATTTGCAAGTGATAGGATTTCTTTACACCGAGACCTTGGACCAGACACTCGACCTCCTGAGTATGTTGAAATGTGTATGTCCTGATAGTCGAAAAACTGCTCAGAAATTCAGACTGCAAAGTGATTTGAGTCCAGCATTAGGTGATAGTTTAGGAACGTCTCCTAGCTATACATAAGGATTGGCTGTACATAACGATCCACAGTGCCAAAGCCAGGAATGTTTAGAAAAGCTCAGTTCTTTCATGGGTTTGAATTCAAAGTAACCATATTTAAATAAGGTTTTCTGCTTGTGCCTTTAAGCTAAGATTTCTGAGTAACATTCTGGAAGCCAGCTAAGTTTTACTTAGAAGAAAACTGAATTTTTCCCAATTTAAACACCACCCCCTGTTTTTTAAGTATTTAGTGTTATAAAACCACCAGCATAATTTAATAAATTAGGAATTGTAAACTGTTGAACAAGTTAATGGAACATCTCAGCAGCAACTGAAACGTTTTATTAACGTAGACTGTAGCACTTGGGGAGAATGGGTTTTGGTTATGAGCAGTCTCTGTCAGTGCTGGATTATAGGTTCTCAGCTGTCTGTGCCAGCAGCAGCTAAACTTAGTGAGCTGTTGCTGGTACATGTGGTGCAGCTCACCATAACCTTTGCTGAAGCATAGCCAGTGAGTTTTCACTGGTGTACTTTGTGAGGCAATGGCTGTGGTTGTTACCTTGGGGTGTCCTCCAGTGTCTAGAATTGACAGACAATAAACAGTAAGTGTGCAGCTTATGAATAGAGTGTTGTCACCTTGATATGCAATTGGATGTAAAGTTATGTTCAGGATACATCAGTCATGAAAAACCGTGGGTTTAACATTGTATCTCTTGAGAGATATATGCTGTCTGAAGGTTTATGTACTATTTCCACGAAATTTTGAAGTTCTGTTCCATTTTTTTCTTGCAAGCTCTGCATTTTTCTGATAAGTATTCTTCTTTGTATTTTTGGGTTTCAGCAGTAATGGTGACTGAAAGTCAGTCAGTACCTGCTGCTCTCAATATAATAACATTTTTTCCTGAAGAAGGCCTGGGTGCTGTATGAAATGTACTCAAATGTTTGTGAGACAGAAGCAGAACTGAGTCAGTCATCATATTTTTAAACACAGTTTGAACAGTTGGAGCACCTGCCTTTGCACTCCTAAGCTGGGATAGAAAGTGGAGAAGCTGAAATATTTAATGTCCATACTTATAAAGCTTTGTACTAAAAAGAGAGTCAAAAATTGTCTGTTTTGTAACCCCTGACACTTTCTGATCTGTAGATGTATTGAACAAAAGTTTAAGCGTTGCCCACCATTGCCAACCACAAGCATTATAATTGTTTTTCATAATGAAGCATGGTCTACTCTGCTCAGAACTGTGCACAGCGTGATGTATACGTCTCCTGCCATACTGCTAAAGGAGATCATTTTGGTGGACGATGCCAGTGTAGATGGTAAGAAGTCTTTTGATTTTATGTTTCTTTCAATTGAAGGCATGTTAGGATTGCACATAAATTGGCTAAAAGAGGGTATCTCTTTACCACCATTAACAATTATAATGATATTCTAAGTGGGTTTGTTCCTTTCTTTTACTTTAAAATATGAAATAGTCCTCCATCTTTTTTTTTCATAAAGTAGTCAAGCATGAAATTCTTATGCTCTTAAAGCTTTTTAAACCCTATTTCTAGTTATTCCAATTCTAGTCCTGCTTTAACTGCATAACTCATTGCATGACAAGTAGCTCTATAATTTGTGCTTCAAACCAATTACAATTTATAGATCAAAGTATCCAGGTATAAATTGGACAATGTTTTTGACAATTTGCATTTTATCCTGATGATTGTCTTTATGCAAATTAATTTCATTAATATGAAGGGCAGTGCCTTATTTAATAAAATAATCTTCAACACTCAAGCTGTCAAAAACAGTTGAATGTGTATGGAGTGTGAACACTAATGTACGTTCAGAAAGCCTTATATGCTTAACTTTATATGAACATGTGTATACATACACATTCCTGTTAGTGTGTTTACATTTTTGCAAGTCTGTATTTAGTATAGGAACACAGTGGTATGTGAAGTATGTTCAGTAGTACAGTTTAATAACAAGGGTGGGATGACGTGGGATGATGAGTGTGGGCTTGTTTCTCAAACTGAACATGTAAATAGGTTTTTATGTGGCTGCTGTTGTAAATATTGTAGCCTTCAAAAACTGTCTAAATGTGCCATCATTATTGAAAGAATTTGCATGTTCTGCAGATCACTTGAGTACTTACATGATCCCTTTGCTCTGAAAATGGAGTTTGAATTGATATTCAAACTGTTAATACTACAGAAGAGATGTACTAGGACTTCCTTTATTGTCCAGAGTATTTTTAGTGTTCTATCTCCTGTTCTTTGCCAATCACCTCTTCCTACACCCCCACCTCAACAAGACTTAGCTCCTGAAAATAACCTTCATCAATCAGGAATTTTTACAGCTTTGATGTTGAGGTAATTTCTGGGATTAGTGTGAGTTGTTTATCTTGTTAGTTTGATAATGTAAAATTTTGGGCTGTGTCACGTATATGCACTGACTATCCTGAAATTGATTCCTCTTTCTAGAATACTTGCATGACAAACTAGATGAGTATGTGAAACAGTTTCAAATAGTTAAAGTAGTCCGTCAAAAGGAGAGAAAAGGTCTGATCACTGCACGGCTCTTGGGAGCTTCAGTAGCAACAGGAGAGATCCTTACCTTTCTGGATGCTCATTGTAAGTGTAACCTGTAACCATTCCAGGTCTGGTATATAACACTGTTGTCTTTGATGTAATATTGCACATTTTTTATGAATTATAAACATTATCAATATATCATCTTTCCTGTTGCTATTTCATACTGTTGAAAGTATAATTGGCAATGTTATTTAAAAGCAATGCATTTTGGCTTGCTGGACATGTTAAAAAATTCCCTGTGTACTACTGTAGAGCCAAGTAAAAATTCAGTGTTTGTTCCCATTTTCTCCATAGGCGAATGCTTTTATGGCTGGTTAGAGCCATTACTGGCAAGAATAGCTGAGAACCCTGTTGCTGTTGTAAGCCCTGACATTGCTTCTATAGATCTCAATACGTTTGAATTCAGTAAACCGTCTCCTTATGGGCATAGCCACAACAGAGGAAATTTTGATTGGAGTTTGTCATTTGGATGGGAGTCTCTACCTAAACATGAAAATAAAAGAAGAAAAGATGAAACCTATCCAATTAGGTAAACATAGATTGAATGCTACTTAAATCCTGCTTTCATGGGGGTTTTGTTATAAACAGCAGTTTGTAAATAAACTAGTTCTTCAGATGAGTATAATCAGACATCTTAGTATCTTACGTGGTTTTTGTAATACTTTAAGAACCACATTTTAAAGCTTTCATAAGAATATAGCCTCCTTAAGACAGCAATTGCTCTGCATTGCCTTTTTTCTACATACACTAGGAATATAATATGCAATTTCCATTGCTTATTATATTCCTAGCAGGAGGGGGCAGAGGAGGATTATAAACAGTTATTTTCAGAGACAGTACCACAGATTCTGGCTCCTCATTTGTCATGCTTGAAAGAATGACAACACAGGTTCAGAGCACCCAAATACTAGGCTGTTACATCAGTGCGTGTGTTGGTAATAGCACCTGCTTTGGCCACAGAAAGGTTACTGGTCTGTAGGAGTAATAACTTTGCTTGATACCCTCCATACAGGGATATATGTTAGTTTTCCTGGTGCTGTCTTTTATACCAGCAGTCGTTAGTCTAAACAAGTTGTTAATAAATGACAATAAAACTGTCTAAATGAGACTCCATGTGGACAGATTTAACTGGTAGAACTATTACTTATGCCAGAAAAGTGCACCAATGTAGTTAAACACTGACAAATGCATGGAAAATTCCTAGAACAGATATATCAAGATTTTACATCTGTTTTGAAAAAACCCTGCCTATTTGAATCCTGTCTTCCTCAGTAAATTTCTGTTTTTGCAGAACACCTACTTTTGCTGGAGGTCTCTTTTCAATATCAAAAGACTACTTTGAACACATCGGAAGCTATGATGAAGAAATGGAAATATGGGGAGGTGAAAATATAGAAATGTCTTTCAGAGTAAGTTTAGCTCCTTAATGAGCAGTCGTCTCTATGCTGAGAGTGTACAGTGGTTTTAAGGACAAATTAGTATTAGATTCTGACAACTCTGCTGAATCGGCCAACCAGGACATGGAAAAGTGAATTACTAATTACCTCATACAAACATGCTCACTGAAATGATTTTTTTTTCTTAGTGTGTGTGGGGTGGAAAGCTAAAATGTGCTGATTAGGAAATTCACTTATCATGCCTCTGATATATGTACTCTTGCTAGTGGTTTGATGTTTTCTGGTGAATAATATTGCTGATTTTTTTTTCCACCCCTTAAGTCTAATTGCAGTGCACTTACACCATAAATGTTATTGCTAGGTATGGCAATGTGGTGGACAGTTGGAGATCTTGCCTTGCTCTGTTGTTGGCCACGTCTTTCGCAGCAAGAGTCCCCATACTTTCCCAAAAGGTACTCAAGTGATCACACGTAATCAAGTTCGCCTTGCAGAAGTGTGGATGGATGAATATAAAGTAATATTTTACCGAAGAAACACAGAGGCAGCAAAAATTGTGAAACAAGTAGGTGGTGGTGGTGGTATTAGAAATCACACTTGCTGCGTTGAAAGTTTTGGTGAGCAAAAGTTATTTATTGACAAAGTATGTAAGGACTCTAGATATTTTAAGGAAAAGACAGAGTTCACTTTGCTTAATGCTACAGCGCTAACAAACATGGGAAAACTAAAGTGTTTTGGTGGTGGTGGTTTTTGATGGTGAGGTTTTATTGTGGGTTTTTTTCAAACATTCTGTAAAATCCTGGCTCATTTGCTTTGAGCAGCTACTGGAACTGCCAGAAAAGCAGGAGAAAAACTACTGAGCTGAGTTAGTTTACAATGTAAACTAACTTATGTTTTTGGAGTGAGAAACATAATGTCTCATTAGTCTGAAGTTGCTTAGTATTTTTACTTAAAAAGCAGGTTTTGTGGTTCTTTAGCTGCAGAGTAAAGCTTATTTGATGATAGATAACCATCCCATCTCTATCTGCTTAAAAACTGCAGTTAATTTCAAGGGAGGTTGGTTGTTGGCTTATTATTTTTGTAAGTTTTATCAAATTTTCATCTTTTACCAGCTAGAATCTAGTTTTCTTTGAGAAGATCTTTTTCCCCCCTTTGTGTGATGAATTTTTGCAACTGTTGTATCACTTTAAAGCATTAGATTTCCTAAGCATGTTCAGCAGCTAAAGAACTGCATTTTGTTTGGGAGATTCTACATTGTACTGGGTATTATGCTAATTATTTCGTTAGCCCCTTACATTATTTCCGTTTACACTTTTAGTGAGATCAGTTAGCTTTATAGCTGTCATCAGTATGGTCTTGTTTGTACTTTCCCATTTCATGGCACTGTCTTAAAACTTTCTTGGGACTTGCAATGTATTTTTCTTGTGTGTGCTTTGCAATGCCGTGGGCAGGATGCCTGGGGTGTTAAGCACTGAAAACCACCAGGAACTGTAGTAGTACAGCATTAACAAAACAAAAATCAACAAATGAAGCTTAAACCTTGTTTAATACTGCAATACAGAATATCATTGTGTTACATGTGCAATATATCTTCCATCCTTCCTTACTTCCCTTCCTGTAACAGAAAACGTTTGGAGACGTTTCAAAAAGACTTGCATTAAGGCAGCGTCTGCAATGTAAAAACTTCACCTGGTATCTCAGTAATGTTTATCCAGAAGCATATGTGCCAGACCTGAATCCTTCGTTTTCTGGATTTGTAAGTTTAATTATTTTCTATAGTCTTCAGAATCCAGGAAGTTTGCTAATCTTTTGTGCTACCTTAGCCATAGCTTTTAGACTTTAGCCGTCATTAACTGCTCTGAGGTTTTCTGTTACTACTGTGGACAAAGAATCTCTTCTGCATACCTTGCTATTTGAATATTTTATAGCTTTGTCAATAGCAATATAAAACTTAAGAAAGCTTCTTAGTAACTGCCAGTAGCTGTGATTAATGAGGTCTTACAACCTGCTAAGATAAGCAGCATTCTGTCTGTCACTAACAGTTAAAGTGACAAAAAAGTACTAAGTCAGTGGTGAAAGGTTTTCTGAGTTATAAAGGTAAATTTAGCTTGATACACTGAAATCTCAGAGAATTTTTAGTTCATGTTAGTAAGGAAAACTGGACAGCTCTTTGCTTCTCAGAATTGGGTTTATGATGAGTATAATGTGTGGTTTTACCTTATACAAATGTTTTTTTAGAGACCATTACATTTTCCCTGACAAATAATTTTATACATTGCATTGCAAAAAACAACAAAAAGAAAGTAATCATCCTTAGCTTGATGTGAGCACTAATATTTGTGTATTTACAAATAAAACTTCCCCTTCCTCCAGTTTTAGATATTTTATGCGTAACTGTTCGAATTGTAATTTGAATAACAGTAACATTGCTCGCCAGTAATAATTCTGTGTGTGACTATGTAGTTACTAGGCTTTTAGTTAGAAGAGTGTAATTGAGAGAAAACAATTTTTTGATTTGAGAGTAGCAGAAAGTAAAAATGAAGTAACAGCTGTAACTGTTGTTAAGTTGAAGGTTAGTTTTGTTTTAATTTTGTTAGTTTTATTAGTTTAATTTTTTGTCATCCCACTGAGCTGTTTTTTTCCCCTCTGATAACACCCATTCATTAGTTAAAAAATATAGGTAACCACATGTGTCTGGATGTTGGTGAAAACAACCAAGGTGGCAAACCATTGATTATGTATTCTTGTCATGGACTTGGAGGAAATCAGGTAAAATATTTGATTCCTGGTTTTTATGATCTCTTCTGCTGTAGCTTTACCGTATGAAAGCTTGTAATTTATTTTAGAGAAACTGACTAATTTTTGTTATGCGATTTCTCTCTCCCCATGTCTTTTTTCCTTATTTTTTTCCTTAGTAGTTAATTCCTATTTATATTGTTAAAGGAAAATTCCATGCCCCTCTTCATGTTGTGTCCGGCTTCAACCGTTTTAAGTTCAGCATACAGATTCAGATTGCAAAGACAGTTGCACTGCTTCACTTTACCTTTCCTTTCTGTGCAAAACCTTTTCATTCTACCCTTACTCTTTTCTTGTAAGCATTGTCTTCTTAATAATTCTTCCTTTCCTTATACTTCCTCCTATTGCTTCTTTCTCTGTCACCAGGACTCACACTGTCATGGAAGATGTTGGTTGGAACCCGGCCAGTGGGAGACCAAGTGGCCAGGCTGGAGCCACCTTCCCTCTCATGCTTGCAGCCTTGTAGTGTGAGGTCAAAGTGGCCTGTCCTGTACTGGCTAATGCAAGTGAACACTGTGATTGCATTTGTTCAAGAGGAGCTATCCTTGGTCCATAGCTCTTGGTGGCAGCAATGGTGCTCTGTTCCTTCTACAATATGACTCTCAATAGATGCCAGATACTAAATCCTTCAGTCACTACTGTAATACGAATAAAAGGAACATCTCTTTTCCTGCCCAGAAATGCACACTTCTCTGTTGCCTTAAAGAGTGACTAAATGTATCAACTGTAGATCCTTATCAACTAAAGGTCAACAACAGTTTAAAATTTTTTGTTGGAATAATTGTTATTAGGGGTGTGTGTTAATAAATTTTTTGAAATTTTAAAAGCCATCAGTTGGTGGCACTGATAAAATTCAGACACATAATCCTAGTTAGTTGATTCTTTCCTAATGAATTTCTGCAGGAGAAGGCTTGCTGTCTCGATTAAGAACTCTCCTGTTACATTAGCTTCTTACAGTGTTGAACTTGGTTTTTTTTATTAGCCTTTTCACATTGTCACAGTCAGTAATTCAGGAACACTGTGCCAAGACATTGTATGAAGAGATCTGCTGTATGCTTCTATTGTTATCTCTCCCTAAATTATCTTGGACTGTACTAAAACTTTTCTTTCAAGTGTTACATTTTTTGTTTTTCCTCCTGCCATAAAATCGACAGTCTGAATCCCTTTAAAGGCCAGCCTTCAGAGAATTTCAGGATAGGTTTTACTGATAATGCTTGAGATGCATATTTGCTTGCTTAACCTTTCTCATTGCAATACTCTGTTTTCAGTCATTCTCTGTTCTTTACCAGGCTTTGAGCAGTGTAGACTGATATTTTCCATGCTACCTGTCATCTTTGTCCATATATTTGAGATGGGAGAATGGAGTAGAAAAGAGAACCTAATTTTCAGAGTTGTACATCAATTGTATATCATTCTTCCGTTTTAGAATCTTCTGGGGCTGGGAACATGTCCATCTCAATATCCAAAATTAATGGAGTTTTAACCTAGCTTTCAAGTCATATTTTCAGGGTTAGCAGACATTTTGAAGTTAAAAAGATAAATCAGGACAAATTAAGTCAGATTAGCAGATTAAGAGTAAATTACTATGTCCGAGAGCTAAGTGATTAAGCAGATCACTCCTATCAGTACCTGTTTCAGGGATTACTGTTGGGCACAGAGTCTTATGAGTGGCATGGCTGTTCCTCAGTGCTGTTCCCATTCATTACAAGGCAGTGAGGAGGTGATTGCTGACCAATTGTACAGATGGTTGGAAGCCACAGGGAGGTAACCGAGCCTGGTCTTAATAGTCAGAGGGAAGATATGGTGAAGGCAGCTGACATATGGAGCCAAGAAACAGTGGTAGTGGGATGTAATGATAGGGATTAATGAGGGAGAAGAGGAAGAGACCGGGATGTTAGAGTAGGGCTGGAGGTATAAAAGGACAGCTGTGTCTGTAACTTAGAATTAAATCCCTGTTAAGACTGGAATTATAGCCTAAAATTCCTGAGCCTTAAGAGTACTCTGCTGTCAGGAAATCATGGTAAAATTAACTGATAAAATACCTGCTTGTATTACTTGTCTAATGGCTAGTTCACAAGAGAACATAACAGCATCGTACTGTTCACATTTATTGTTTAGATCAGGCAGCAAAATTTGGCAGTACAGCAGTCAGTATTGTTCCGTGTGACAACCTTTTTTTTTGGTTGCTCTAAGAAAAAACAAAATCCAGCAACATAATTGAATGCAGATTTTTAAAGTTAAGAAATGCCAAAATTTAAGTCATCCATGCAACTACCTCTACCCTTCACTATGTCTCCTTGAATTATATATGATCTGCGTGGGAACATGCAGTGAGATCTTGCATTATATATGCACCAAGTGCCATTTGAATTTTATACACATAAGTAGAAATTAGTATTGCATTCATATTAAAAAGTGCTTTTAGTTTTGTAAACACTTTTAAAGTGTGTATGCTAGAATTCAGAGAAATTATTCTGTAACCTCAGACTTCTTTTACAAGAAATGTATTATTTTGTATATGGGAATTTCAAAAGATTAATTTGGTTTATACTTTTGTGTTTACTTACTGAAATTTTTAAAAATTATTTAAATAGTACTTTGAATATTCTGCACACCATGAAATTAGACATAACATTCAGAAGGAGCTCTGCCTGCATGCTTCTAAAGGACCTGTGCAGCTTTGTGAGTGCAGCTACAAAGGCCAGAAAACCTTAGCCGCTGGAGAGGAGCAATGGCTGTACCAAAAGGTATTTAGACTGTGCAGTGAATCTGCACTTTAATCAGTGATCTTTTATATTAACCAACAAAAAAACTCTGGAGCCAAAAAAGAGTAAGTTTATTTTCAGGAGGAAGATGCGGATAACTTTTCAGTTACCAGATGAAAACTCGATCTCACTCGTAGGAATGCCACTTAAAATCCACTGATATCCTTTTGTGTGTGTGTGTACATCCACCTGGAAGCCAATTCAAATGTTTTGTATCTTCTGCCATAATATTAAAAAGTTTCCTAACAAAACAAGTTGGCTTCTCGCATGCTACTTAAAATCGCTTGCTTGCCCCCTCTGTGTGACCTTACTCTTTAGCAATCAGCTTGGGGGGAAAACAGTTGGGGAAATAGCATGTTTATTGTTTGTTTGACTTTTTTTCCCCTCCTTTTTTCCTCACTTTAGGATCAAACTCTGTACAATGCAGCATTACATATGTGCCTTACGGGAAATGGACAACATCCGAGTTTGGCAACCTGTAATCCATCAGACCCCTTCCAGAAGTGGATCTTTGGCCAGAACAATTAAAATTTTATATTTATAGGCCAGGAGCATTCAATTAAAAGAAGAGATCCATTCTTCTTTTAGAGAGATCATATGTATACTGCATTTTTAAGTGATGCTTCAAATGCAAAATGTTTAAACAGTTTCTTTTCCCTCTTAAATTGGATTTAAAATGTGTCGGCAGAGATTCTCAAGGAGTGTGTTATACCAAAGATAATTGATTACATTTTGTTTGCAATATTTCTGTAATAAGACTTTACATGTTCACCACTGATTTATGGATCCTTTTAGTCCTCTTTCACCTTGGGGACCATATGTATATTGTTATTTCCCATATTGTAAGTACATCTGATGACTAGTTTTCTCTGTAGAGCTGTGAGAAATTATTGTCTGCTGTCTAAAACTCAATACACTTTATATTTTTAAGCTCAGTTGGTTGACTTAAGTGTTTTTTTACAATAATTTACCCAGGGAAACTTTCTCAATAATGTATAGGTTTGTTCACTTGGAAAATTAAATATTTGACTGTCAGGTTAAAGCCAGTTAGGCTACCACACTGTGCTCAGCTTCTAGAAAGTCAGTGCTTCTGTAGAAGTAGCAAGTAATCCTCACCAAAATATGTATTTATGATTGTTTTAATGGAAAAATCTGCTTATTCTTATAACTAACCTTTGCCTTGACAAAACTGTGTACAGTTTTTTTCATATTTAATTAACTTTAAAACTTATGACAAAGTTCTATTGTAATAGATTTCTGAGCTGGTTGATATTTACACATTTTTTCAGCACTTTGTTCATTATTGCTTTTAAATTACATGTTTGCTACTACACTCACTTTTCTCCCCATATGTTTTAGTGATTTATGCAATGTTTACCTCACAGGTTTCAAATGTTATCCATACATCATTTCTTGTGCAAACACTTGCATCTTGATTTTTTTTCTTGTTTCTGTTTCCTCTTTTACAAAGAACTGACCTCAGCTTTATCAGTCTGCATGATACTGTGGCTGTCCTAAGTATTCTGCTAACTACAGAAAATAATATAGCATAATCAAATATATAATCATTTTAATTTTTAAAGTGAAGGCAAATCGAAATTTTTGGCTGCATGATCAAATATAAAGCTAGGAATAATTTTGAACTGGTGGGTCTTAAAGACTGAATAGGACAGAATACGCTAATAATAAATTTGTTCTCTTGTCCTAGTAAATAAATAATGTCATTACAGACAAAAGATAATTTGCATCTAGGGTCTGGTGGGTGCAAGAAGAAATTAGCCTCACAATGTGGGGTTTTTTTACTTCTAATGGGGGAGGGAGCCTGTCTGTGGTTAGTTTAATGGTACCTGACTAATGAGTTCAATTTCTGGATAAAAGCAAGAAGAAATCCTTTCAGTAGTCCTAAGTCATCTACAAGACAACAAACAAGCAGGGACCAGCGATCGTTTGTCAGAAGCATTAACTTTAATTTATTTTTCTGGCTTGATAATGCCTTTAAGTCGTGTCTTGGCTTCTGTAAGGCTTTTGGTGACACCTGTGAGAACATCCTATGAAATTAAAGCTGTACAGCTTAAAGTAGCTTGCTACACTTGGACAGAAATTTTTGGAAGGACTGTACTGGGAAGGGTTATTAACTGATACTGCTCTGAAACTGGAAGGTTGTTTAGAACAGCACTGCACAAAGATCTGCCTGCATCCTCTGATAAATGTTTTAATTTGGTAATGGAATGCAAAGTAGTATTTTTGCAGATCAGTATTGGAAGGGCTCTTGAGAAACAGGAGGAGTTGAGGAAAAATAGAATGCAGGTCAATGAGACAATTGTTGGACAATATGTGTAGAGGATGGGAGATTACACAGAGAGCAACTGTGACATGTTGAACCCCAGGTATGAAATGGAGATCAGTGTTGAACTAACCTGCTCTAGAAGACAAGGTGTTTAGTGTAGCAGTTTAAGAGGACTTGTTCTTTTAGCATTTATACGTTATACAGGAAATGCATTATATTATTTTTTATATCACTAAAGAATAATTTCTTCATGCAATTGGTTTCTCTTACAAACTTGTCAGATTGGAAATGCAAATGTGAAACATCATTCATCTACTCATTACCAGTTGGTGTTTTTCAGAGGTAACGTTCCAAACCAGGACAGAATTTAAGTTGCAAGGAAACAAGTGTTCTGTTGCCCTCGGAGGTGGGAACCTCTTCACAAGGTATGCCAGAGAAGCTCCACTTTTTATTTTTTGTTTTTCTAACTGGTAATCTTAAGATCATATTATAGCAGGTATAGCAATATATGTAGTTGTCACTCTGTTCTCTGCAACGATTAGGTACAGCAGTTCACCTAGCTGTTATATTTTGCCTGCAGTTGTAGGTGTGGAAGGGGAAAATTAATTCTGTGATTTTAAAATTGTCTTGTAAGATTTTCCTTTCACTTTCTGAGACTTCTGGTCTAACAGAGGTGAATAGTCCTAAATTCATTTTATACCCTAATTTTATTTTATTTTAAAATATGTTTCCTATCTGTTCTTTAAACTATGAGTGACATTTTAGTCTGTATTTTTGAAGTACTTGGTACAACAGCAGTTCAGTCTTACTTGGACTCCCTGCTACCTGCTAGAAAAGTGAGAAGCAGATCTATAAACAGAGCAAAACTTTCAAGTGACCTTTTTGTTCTATTCTGTTTGAAGATCTGAAATTAACTTGTGTGTCTACATTGAGTACTGCACTTCCAAATATTCATACATATGTGTGTAAACATATATGTAGGCATCATACAATATAAGAACAATAGATCTGTAAATATGGCTGGAGGTTTAGAAAGTTGGGGTTTGGTTGGTTGTTATATTTTCAAGTTAATTGCATTTGTTCAAAAATTACTTTTCAAAAGTAATAAAAAAGCAGCATCTTCTGGGCTGCTGTTAATGTTCACTTGAAAGTGGCAATGCTGAAAATCAGTTTATTGCAGGGACTTCTCTGGCTCTTTTACAGCCTTTTTTTAGATTTTAATTTAAAGCACTTTCGGCAATAGCATTATGCTCTTCTCTGCTCCCGTGGAGGGGAAAAAGATAAATACTATTACATCTACAGCATGTAAAACATTGGTACATCAATCAGATGGCTGTGCAAATTCCTGAAGGTTACTAGCAAAGCTAGCACCAGTGTTAACCTCCATCTCACCAGGGAGGTATCCAGGGAGGTGCTGGGGAAGGCTGATTTCAGGCAAGGACAGCTCAGCCCCACTCCCAGCAGGACAAAGCAGGTCCTAAACGTTTTAGGACTTCAGGGCCTGTGGCTCTGGGTAGCTCCTGCCTGTGAACAGGAGGTCCCCACTGGTTCTCTACCTGATTATGACACCACTCACTGCAGTGGGAGTTCACCAGCTCACCATACCTGAGGATTTTGTTTTATCACCCTCAGGAGTAATTGCTGATTTATTCTAGGGTGAATATAGAATAATTTGAGTACTATTAATAGATAACTTAAAACTGAACCTTAGTGTTAAATCTTACTTCTGAATTGGCATCCTGATGTCTTGAATTAGAACACCAGTGCTGAAAGTTGTGTCAGTAAGGCTTAGCAAGCCCTGGAACAGCCCTGTTAACCACAGTCCATGGCAATGCCAAAAGCAGTCTGAGAGCAGTGTTAGTCTGTTCCATTCAGTGTAACTCCTAGCAACCGAAAAACAAGTGATGCCTTAAATCCTGTGAGAACTTTTTTTGCAATCTAGAGAACATCATCTGATCTTTATCAGTGTTTGTAAATAAAAATAATTTGGCTATATGTAATTTAGCATTAAAGCACACTTAAGGGCAAACTACTTTTTTTTATAAATTTACAGCTCAGTCTTAATATCAGAACAAAAATATGGCAGAGACCTGTGATTGTTAAGTATCTTCCCAACAAAGCAATGTCGATCAGCAATTTTCAAAATACGCAGTCATCCTGAAACTGAGCAGGGAGCTTTACAAGCTGCTGCAGCCATGGAAATGATTCACTGCAGAAAATGACTGCAAACTGTCCACCAGAGAGAGCTCTTGCAAAATTTCATTCAAACAGCTGCTGAAAACAATTTTTTCATTAACTTGTACTGAAAATTATTAAATTCACCATGAAAGATGGATCAGGTACTTTATTTCATTGGCCAAAGAAAAGTGTAGGCAGTAGTATCATTAAAGGGCAAATGGATATACCTACCAAGGCACTTCTGCTCATTTTCTAATTGAATTGGCATACAAATATTTGAAAACAAAAACACACGCAAAAAAACCACACAAACTGTTTCTCCTAATGCTGTCAGACTACGAGGAATGGGAGAAATGCTTGACACTTCACAGAGCATCTCTGGAGGCTCTGCAGGTCTCGGGGAGGAGGTGCAGGACTAATTCTGGTTCTTTTAGCTGAGAGGGATCTCTAGGGACTGCATAGCAGAAATAAGAGGCACAACACACTGGCAACCGTGATGTAACGTAGAAACCTGTTTTACTTCATTGCAAACAAATGGACAATATATATTGTACAATATATAATAAAAATACAGCTGATACAAGTGCCACTAATTAACAAAAAAACTAATGTTAAGACTTAAAAATGCTCATTTTTGTAATATATACACTGCAGTAATAAGCCACAATAAATACATCAAATTCCATATCATTCATAATAAATACCGAAAATATAAATACAGAAGAATACAGTTAATTTGAATAAATTATTACAACATAAGGTCTAGGTTAAGTTCTGTTGAATATTATTGTAGCTTATATTACCCTTTGGCATCTTTGATGTTACAGCTTGTTTAAAAAAAAGGAAATTAAGGAAATGTGTAGTTCATGAAGCTTAAAATTATTTCCATGTACAGATTTTAAGATGAACTTTCTTTCCCTTCGCTTCTTCAAACAGTTTAAAAGCAGCAGTCCAATTAAATATCTTGCTTTACTGTTGAGATCTCCATAATTTTAGTATGCAAGATCATCTGTAATGGAAAATGTTAAGTACTTAACATAATTATTTTTCTCAGAAATTAGTAAAGTTAGACATAATGTACAAATTTTAAACAAATGGCTGCAATTACACCACAATTTTACTAGTCCCATTTGAATGGATTACCTGTCTGAAACACCATCAGCTTAAGTGCTTTTGAATCTATGCCATGGTGTATTATTTACCACTTGCCAACAAAAATTTCCAAAGCAATTTTATATTCTTATGAAGAAATA